ACGGTACGTTGCTATGCTCTATGTTTCTTACTACTCCTATCTATACACGTATAATGCAGTGTCTACTTGTGTGACAAGGTGCGCCAAGGACATTACCCCAATAACAACCAGACTTGCTTCTCCATTTGGCACCAGCTTTGGCGCAATGGAAGCGAGCGCCCACAGCCGCGCCACGGCCGCGGTATCCAGCTGAGGGCCCCACCAAAAAAGCGGGCGGAAGGACAAGAGGGTCGTGAAGAGGAGGGGGGCGGTGGGGACGAGGAGGAGGCCGCAGGCCTCGGCAATGAGGGAAGTGATGGTGGTGAACATTCTGATTGTGATCAGAACGAGACAACGGAAACTGGTGGTGACGACAGACAGCAGCAAGAGTAGGAAACAGTGAAACTGCGTAGGTAATAGCCCAAATGACTTGCTTTTAGCAAACAGATGCAATACACAAATTTGCTTTCGTAGCCGTTCTGCACGTGACTCCGTCAAAAACGATTCATTCCCAATAAAAGAGCCATTTGCACATGCATGATGTCGCGTATGGGCTTTACGGATTTTACTCACCCTGCTCGATATAAAGCATGTGGGTCCATAATACGAACGATTCCAGGATCTTGTACAAATATACGACACCGATCTTTGTCCTATACAAAATTTACGTTAAGACTTTTTTTGACATGCTTGATATCAAGCATGTGAAAATTAGCCTGTGCATTCAAGATTTGCTCTCGTAACGGAGGGGTTAAAAAGAAAACCCGTGTATTGAGAGGTTACTCTGACGTATGAAGCGTTGGGTAGAGCACCTTTCACGGCACTATCAGTCCTTATCACTGTGAGCAAGGCCAAACAACACTTCTACTCCATATCAAGAGCAAAACCGTTGGTGCGAGGTCTTCCCACAGGTACATGGGGTTCAGTTGTTTGGGTTTCCCGTTGCCGTTTCTTAGACGTGCCTCGGTAGACCAATGTAGCTTTTGCAACCGGTTCAGCAGCGCCAGAGATTTTCAATGCGTGAGGAAGATGTATGCAACACACGAACTTAAAGAAGTAATTGCATGGGCAGCTGCGTCGAGTAGTGCATTTAGCATGTCCGTGTATTGGGGTTCCAAACGTTGAGAAGTTACGAGCAACGCCACTAGGTGAAATGAACGACATCGATCTGACATTCCACAAACCAGTACTGGGTATTCCACTTGAGCCACCTTAAATGTAGCATCCACGTGAAAAACAAATGAATCCACCGGGCGATCCAACCTAGATAGAAGCCTTTTTGAAGTCACACCAACCACGAAAGGTTTTTCGTCAGATCCTGTTCCAACTTCGATATGGCCAGCATCATCCTTTTGACAGCTAATAGTGAAAGATGCGCTATCCTCCTCAGTTCCGTTAAACTCCAACCCACATATGTACTCAGTGAGCTCGTCCACAAAATCATTGTTCATCATTTTGGTCTTGCGAAAGTAGTTCGAGAAATTTTGCACGACCTTCAACTCTGGCAGATCATCCATACGAACGTTAAACTTCGAGGCATCGCGTTTCGAATACGACCTGGTCGCAGTCCTTGCGCAGCCATCTCTCTGATGTAAGTCTTATGCGCTTCTGTCAACTTGTTTTTCTTGGTATCCTTCTCGAGGCTGTTGTGTTCCTCACACTCGTTAATGGTGAACTTCCGTGTATTGTCGCACTCCATGACACGCCCACGCCACTGACAGTTTGCCTGTTGACCGCTAGTTTCGCATTTTGAGGATGAGCAGCTAAAAAGCTGGTAGCGCATTTCGTGAGGGTTGCCACAGTCCATATCGTGCAGGGGACGGTATGACTGGCTCCCTTCTTGTACTGCTTAAACCCTGCTAGCGCAGCTTCTGCGGTAGTGGCGTCCACAAAATCGCGTACTATAGTCCACTGCAGCGTCATAGCAGACCGTGATTGAGGCAAGCCGTACCTGTCGGTCGCCCTGGGAGCTCCACCACAAAGGCGCCAGATATCCTCGGCAGCTCTGACTCGGGGGAATTGCTGTAACGGGGTACGTAGCACTAAGTGTACCCTGGTTACATGAAGTGTGACACTTCACACTTCAGGAGTATGACATGTCATACTCCGGGATATTTGGTACAAGGTACCAAGGTCATTCAAAACCAACCATTGGTTAAATGACATTGCATTTCTATAGGTAACTGATAGTTTGTATTAACCTCAAACTTAACCTACCTATAAATATACTCAGTTTACAATCTACCTTATTTAGGTCACTTCGCTCTCTTTAATTAAAGAGGGGACCTGTGAACTGCCGTTCACTGAGAGTTTGTATACTCTCGGAAGATAACTTCCTCTAGCGCAAGGTGCTGTGTGACCCCGTCACAATTGCGATGTGCGCATCTGCGATAGGATAAAAACCCTGTCGAACGCCCATGAGATTGGCTAAGATACAATGTCCGCAATTCAGCTTCCTCTGTATGCAAGTCAGGTTACGATCTCCATGAAGACACAATGATGTGTGCTCTTCCCAATCGCTTGTGCGCCATTCATATATTTTATGTGCATTCAGGCACTTTATGTACTTTTTTGCATTAGTGTGTATTTTTTTCTGTTTCTCATTAGTATTGTAATAGGGCCGAGCGGTGTGCTGCTTCACACCCGCTACAAAATGTTTGCCCGGATGACACATTGCTTATCCCATGTACTTCAGTAACTCGTAGCAATTGGGCTCACGAATCTTTTGATACATATCGATTACAATACCACACAAACATCAACAAGGAAGGCGTAGGGCTCGCGCGCGTAAGCAATGAATGGCGCATTTAAATGTGTTGAAACCTGAAAGACGGCCTGAATCGGCAACTCTTCTAGTTGATCGATCGTACAGACGGCTAAACACGTTGGTAAAGACTCTACAGTACATACTGTAGTACCGTACGGTAGTCGTTGCCTTCATGATTATCGATCGATTCATTCGGTCGATTTGCCACAATCAGTGTCTCGTGTTTGACCATTTCAATCTCATTCTCTAACTTCTGCACTGAACGACACACCAAATAAAAACACTCGTCCAGTCGCAAACAGCTCTCAATGACCGAAAGCAAGTCGGACATGGAGCACGGAGAAACCAGCACATCGGCTGGACTCGGGGGACGCTCTTCTGGCTAATGGTCCGGCAGCAATGCACGAGTTGCGTGGTCTACGCGATCTGCGAAAACTCTTTTGAGGGAGGTGAAACTCCCACAGATGGGAGTTTCGCTCACGGATGTGTGCGTGTTCAGGCGAACATCATGTGTGTTGGAGGAACGAGGGCAGCACAGTGAACTTCCTAACATTCGGAACACCTTCAGGAAATTCTCTTTGCGGTTGAGAAGGAGGGTGGTGCACAGAGAGATTCTTTAGAAAACATGAAGAGTGGCCTTTTGCTTCAGCCCCAGATACAATGACACTTGTTCTAGGTCAGCCTGGTTCAGGCAAATCCACGCTTATGAAGGTGCTCAGTGGTCGAGATTATCTGTTGCCAAGAACGTGAGCGTCTCCGGTGACTTGACGTACAATGGACTGAGTCAAGCTGAGATCAAGAAGCAGCTGCCACAGTTCCTGTCGTACGTTCCTCAACACGACAAGCACTTTGCCACACTCACAGTACGTGAGACGCTCGAGTACGCTCAGGAGTTCTGTGGAGGCGAGTTGAAACGACGTGCTGGAGAGTTGTTAACGCAAGGCAAACCGGACGAGAATGCTGAAGCCATGGCAGTTGCCAAGGCTGTGTTTGATCACTATCCCGAGGTTGTAGTGAAGCAACTAGGGCTTGCCAGCTGTCAAGAACCATTGTCGGTGACGCGCTGCTTCGTGGTGTATCGGGTGGTGAGCGTAAGCGGGTGACGACTGGAGAGATGGAGTTTGGCATGAAATACATGACACTCATGGACGAGATCAGTACGGGCCTGGACAGCGCTGCAACTTTCGATATCATCAACACACAACGCAGTATTGCTCATCGCTACCACAAGACCGTGGTGATCGCACTATTGCAACCCGCACCAGAAGTCGTGGCTTTGTTCGATGATCTTTTGATTCTAAATGCTGGTGAGATCATGTACCACGGTCCGATGAGTGAAGTGGTACCTTACTTTTCTGGTTTAGGCTTCGAGACTCGAATCGAGTGTCCTCCTGGACGCGACGTGGCCGACTACCTCATGGATCTGGGTACAAATTAGCAGGCTCAATACCAAGTGGAGCTCCCTGTATCGAACTACGCGCATCCGCGTGAACCCAGTGACTTTGCTCGTGTCTTCCGTGACTCCCACATTTACCAGACCAATTACGGAATCTTGCTGAACCCACAAACGATAAACTCAAGCAAGTGGCGGAGAAGGTAGAATTTTAACGGGGTCGTATACAGGTCAGGCCTGATTATTGGGTCAGGTTCCATTTCCAACAGGATCCTCCTACATAAGAAGAAGAATCGAGCAGTGAAGAAGATGACGAGGCTGTAGATGTCGACAGTGATGATGACAACGAGGGCGTCTCTGGTACTAGCAGCGAAGAGGACGCTGCTGCTACGAATTTGGGCGCAGATGTGATCAGCAATGACAGTGATGCCGATGAATGCGACACTGAAGCCGACCAACCTCGTGCCGCGCAGACCATCGTGGTCTAAGCATTTTAACCCAACTGCTTAGCTTCATATCTTTCACTTCAATATGTAGCTTAGCAATTGGTCCTGTGTTTGGTAGGGCCGTCAGGAAACCCGCCTGACCCAATTATCAGGCCCTACCCGTAAACGACCCCAAAAATAGCTAACCGCGGAGAAACACATGAAGCCTATGCCAGAGTTCCACCAGTCGTTCCATGCCAGTGCAGTGACGCTGCTTCGTCGTCAGATGTTCATTATTGGACGCAACAAGCCGTACATCTTCGGTCGTGCACTGCTGGTCACAGTGATGGGATTGTTATACGCGACAACGTTCTACCAGTTCGACCCGACCGAGATCCAGGTCGTCATGGGTATTATCTTCGCCGGTACATTGTTCCTGTCGCTTAGTCAGGCTTCACAGCTCCCTACCTTCATCGCAGCGCGCGATATCTTTTACAAGCAACGAGGCGCTAATTTCTACCGGACTGCGAGCTATGTGGTTGCGAATTCCGTCAGTCAACTGCCACTGTGCATCACTGAGACGCTTATCTTCGGGACGCTGGTGTACTGGATGTGTGGCTTCGTGTCGGAGATCCTGGAGTTCCTGCTCTTCCTGCTGGTTCCGTTCATGACCAACTTCGGGTTGGGGTCTTTCTTCTTCGTCCTGACAGCGGCAGCCCCGAGTATCAACATCGCGACGCCCATTTCCATGGCTTCCACCCTGATTTTCATCATTTTCGCGGGTTTTATCGTCACGGAAGGCCCAGATCCCCAGGGTTTTTTTATTTGGCTTTACTGGATCACGCCCCGTCTCCTGGGACACTGCGTGCACTCGCAATTATCGAGTACCGCTCGTCAGTACTGGACGTGTGCGTGTACCATGATATCGACTACTGTACTACTGAAGGCACGCCCATGGGCCAGTACTACCTGCAGTTATTCGACCTCAAGACGGAGAAGATCTGGATCTTCTACTGCGTCATCTACATGGCTGTCTTCTACGTGACGTGTATGACTCTGGGGTATCTGGCTCTAGAGTACAAACGCTACGAGACGCCCGAGAACGTGGGGGTTGTCACTACAAAGACCGAAGAAGACGACGCTTACAGACTTGCTACTACCCCCACTAGCAATGTCTCCAAGTCTCTTACAGCGAGTGAGGTGGTGATGGAGGTAGCGTCTCGAAACTCGAGCTTCACTCCAGTCACTGTGGCGTTCAAAGACCTGCGGTACTCGGTGCCAAAGCCGTCGAATCCCAAGGAATCCATCGAGCTGCTTAAAGGTATCAGTGGCTTTGCTCTTCCTGGTCAAATGACCGCTCTTATGGGCGCTTCGGGAGCTGGCAAGACGACTCTCATGGACGTAATCGCGCACCGGAAGACTTGCGGGACGATCTCGGGTCAGATCCTCCTGAATGGCTACGAAGCCAACGAGTTTATCCGTCGATGCACTGCCTACTGCGAGCAAATGGACATTCACTCGGAAGCCTCCACGATCCGTGAAGCTCTCACGTCTAGTGCGTTCTTACGTCAAGATAGCAGCGTTCCGGACAGCACTAAGAGGGATGTCCAAGTAAAAAAGTAATGACTTATTGGCTACACGACTTATCAGAGCGCTGAAAAAAGTTGTCTCCAAAAGTCGTCCCCATGTTCACTCGCCAGGAGACGACTTTTTGACTGACCTATCGAACGGCATGTCTTCAACATGCTCAAAGAGAGTTGGTTTCCTTTTTGAAAGCGTGCTCATCAGGAGCGCTCCTTGCCCTGTATGCCTCGCTTCCAGGACAGCGCAAGACAGTGCGGAGCTCTACCAGCACGCGATATGACACAGGACGGGAACATGTACGTGCCCCCTGTACGTGCTGCACGCTTGGTTCATAGAGCTGCTGTCACGGCACCTCCATCTTCGGCAGAGTTGCCACCTTACTACACGCAGTATGAAGAGGATCACTCAGAAGACGAAGACGCTTCAGAACAAGCTTCGCCTTCTTCGCCTGCACAGGACCTGACACCAGAGAGAATGCCCAAGAGAAACAGACGTCCCAGCCGTAGGGTTGTTGAAGCTCATCAGGCCTCGATGGCTGCTATCACCAGCACTACCAGCACTGGCCAAGCTCCCAAAGCCAAGCGAAAACGGATTTCCCGCCCAGTTACGAGCAAGGATAACGCAGAAGATGTCCCTTCAGATGGCCAAACACGCAAGACCAAGAAGGCAAAGAGCTCTGCTGCGTCTACGAAGCCGAAGCCGGTGAGGTGA